TTAACGCCACAACACGGCAAATCTCCGTTAACGAGCTACTGCGGATCGCCCCGTGCGTGGGGCTGGACGGCGCCAACACGTTAACGAGCTAACAGCGCTAACACACTAGTTCCCACCATGTAATTGAGCATTGTCTGGCACATCCAACATACTGTTTTACTTTAGTCCATGACGCGCTTACCTTCAGGGTCATACGTCACATGAAAACCAAAATAGTTCCAAACGCCAGATCTGAATGAGGGTGGGGGAGGGTCAATTTGCCATGTTGCAAGGAGCTTAGCTTCTGTGTTGTTAGCTTGCCCTGCGCTCAGTGGATCTGCGTTCGACTACTCCGCCTAGGCTGCACTGTCGAGCGCAGATCCACTGAGCGCTCAACACAGACAGCATCGTCAGAAGGAAAGTTGATAAAATAAATTAAAACTTTTGTATTGTTCGATACATATGCGTACCGAACCGAAAGCACTAAATCGAACGGTTCAATATCGATACGAGTATCGTTGCACCCCTAGTAACAAGGTAAACAAAAATAAAAAATAAAAATAAACATACAAGTATAAAAGCTAAACAAGGTATAAATAGACTAAGAGTCATGATGAGAGGTATGCAATCCTGAATAGATAGTTTTCAATATATATCTGAACATATAACAGCAAAACCAGTGGTTCTCTGTGGAACACAGCCGAACACGTGTGATGAGAACAGAGAACAGGTCTGAAAACAGATCACACGATCACAACATTGACAGTGCGTTCGCTCTGTCTGTGTCTCAGGACCTGAAGTGGGTGGAGGAGAAGCAGGCGTTGTATCGGAGGAATCAGGAACTGGTGGAGAAGGTGAATCGCATTTGTCAATCGTGACGTCTCAGTAAATATACACACAAATTCTTCCGAATCAAAAAGAACAACTTGCATTTGGTATATATTTGGTATTTGGCTGAGAAAAGACTTAATGTCACACGTAACAACGGATGGTTTGCAGGTCAGGCAGATGGAAGGTGAAGAGCTGCGACTGAAAAACGACATCCAGGATGCCAAAGACCAGAACGAGCTGCTGGAGTTCAGGATCCTGGAGTTAGAGGTGAAAACGTTGCAGATGCCAGTAACAGCATCTCAAACTTCCAGACGTTTACCTGTGATTTCTGTTTGCTGTTCAGGAGAGGGAGCGGCGCTCACCCGCCATCAATTTCCAACAGCTCCATTTCCCTGAAGGCCTCAGTCCTCTACAGGTTTACTGTGAGGCAGAGGGAGTCACTGTGAGTACATCCGTCAGTACACCTGAGTGCACCTGTAAATATCTCTGAGGGGTGCACTGCCAGCATATTCAGCATATCCGGGCTTTCGCTGTGTTAGCTGGCTGAACTAAGCTACACTTTCACTGTTAAACTGGGCCTGAAAGGTGCGTTTGATTTGTCATTTCATTCTCTTTACAAATGGATCAGCTGAGCTCCTTTTGCTCCAGTGAGAGGAGTTATTAGAGGAATGCTGACAGAGCTATAAAAATGTAAAAGAAAATAAAGTGCTGCAGAAGATTATTGAATTTGTGATCATCAAGCAGCAGTGAGATAAATCTATTATAGCCATCCGTTTTCTTTATCCAATTCAGTGTTGTGGGGGGACTGCAGCACATCCTCGCTGTCATAGGGCGATGGGCGGGGTACACCTGGACAGGTCACAGGTTTGTCACTGGGTTCATACAGAGACAGACAACCATTCACAGCTTTTTATTTCTAGGGTTCACGCTGCATCTGTGAACCTTTAGGCGCTGAAGTTTGGTCAGTGTTCAGTCACAGACGTAGAAATTAGTCTGTCACAGATTCAAGTCGTCGCATTCACATCACAGAATTCTACAGACTTTGAAAGTGTGCGTGACTGTCTTCATGATATTAAATCATGGCTGGCATTAAATGTTTTGAATGTGAACAATCAAAAAGCTGAGATTGTCCTATGTGGACCTTCTGACCCTCGTTCTTCTCTTAAGGGTGACCTTGACCCTCTGGGAAAAGCAGAACTGCCTTTGCAAAAGTCTGGGAATGTTATTTGATGTTTCTTCATATTGAGAAACTGCTGTTAAAGGCTTCGAGAGAGTAGCTAATGCGAGTAATTGATCCAGACCTGGCAGCAGCTCTCTCATCTTCAGCTCTCGCATGTTTACGTGTGCTCCTGACAGGCAGGCGTAAACGCGACCGTATTTCCCCGTCTAGGCTTGTTTGCGTTCTGGCTTCCAGCACGTTATAGAATTGATTTTAAGATGTTATTGCTTGTTTTTAAGTCTCTAAGTGGATAAGCTTCGCCGTACCTCTCTGATCTTTATCTCATGCTATAAACTGAAGGCTGCTTCTGACTGAAACACAGGAGGGGCCTTTGCTGTGTGTAAA